GTGGTGGTGGTGAGCTATCTGGTGCTGGCGGTGATGATGATGGTGAGTTATCATCTGTGGAATTCGATGATGAAGGTGGGTTTGAGCTATCTTGTGTGGAATTTGATGAAGATATAGACGGAGAACTCTCAGGGGACGAAACCATTTTGCACTAACTTGGCAGGAACTTCCAACCAAGAACCACCGCCACCCCTTCCGGTATTTGCTTGGTTGAAAAAAGAAACCCTGAAGAAAATCATCATATCAAAATCAATGAAACCTTTAATTATATAATCACAGGCCATTTAAGATCACGTAAATGTTCTCCAATGGCCACGCAAATGCTTTCAAAAAACACATAATGGTACCTGAACGAAGAAGAAAGAAGGTTCATCAAAGGAACAAGAAAGAAAAGGGGGGACCCTGTCGTTCCCCAGTGGCTTTTCCTACGGAACAGATCTTTGTCTTGCTTGTCGTCTCTGCTGTGTCTCTCCTCTCTCGATTTCTGTCGAGCTTGATTTGCTTTCAATCGATTCTTCCTTTTTAGCTTTTTGGACTTTTTACTAATTTTCTGGTTTTGATATTTTTGGTTGGAAAAACCATGCAGTATGGGGAAAATAGCATAGAAAATATCAGTTTTTCAACTCAAAAACTTGTTCCACTTTCCTCCTAAACCATCGCTTCTTTTTACACTTGGAACAAAGGATACCTCATACACGTAAACGAAGAAGAAGTTGATGCACAATTTACTCACCAGTTATTGCTTACAAAACTCATGAAAACTGTAATGCGGTAACAAAAATATTAATTTAACACGTGGAAAATACTACGAGGAAGAAAAAGGGCAAGATCATTGTCATATAAACATAATTATTTTTTATTGTTCACAATGTAACCCAAGTTTGTCGTAAGAAACAACTCATCAAGCAGTCTTAACAACTAAAGATAGTGTTATTTTAAAGGTTTCAGATTTAAACAGCTACGATTATAAAATATATATTATTAATAATTTAAAATAAATTATAAAGATTTCAGATTTAAACAGCTACGATTATAAATTATTAATAATATATATTTTATAATCATCCCTTTTTAAATTAAAAGTTTGCCAATTAACTTGGACATCATTGTACGAATAAGATAAATCTCAGTTAATGCTGAAGAAAATTTTCAATCAGATGGATCATATTTATTGTCTACAATGTTATCAGATGTACGGGTGGACCACTAATTCAATCTCGGGTGCATTCACAAATAAATGGATATATTCATTGATAAGAAATTTTTTTTTAACCATTATTAGATTTATAATAAAATAAAGTTATGAATTTTTTTATAATAAATATACAGTGGTCTCTTGAAGATTTTAAATTATTATGTATTTTAGATATTTTATTTTTATTGATAATTTATTTTTAATCTCTTAAAATCTTATACGTTTTATCTCTTTAAAATTTTAAAATTTCACCACCTAACATAAAGTTTTACCTCTATCCCTAATCTTTCACACCCACCCTGTTGGTATGATCACATAAAAACTTCCTTTTTATTATGATTCTTTTAAATTACTAACTATATTATTGGATATAGAGTTAACTCAATAATAACCCCCTAAACTATATGAAAGTTGAAAATGAACATTAATAGATTTCTTGATTTTCCTTTGTTTACATCATCTAGGAGATCGTGGAATTTTTTTTAATTTTTTCTTTTTAATATCAAGCAAAAGGGTATGAGAGGTACCGTAATTTTAAAGAAAAACCAACGTGGCCCGCGATTTTTTTGCATCCAAACGTGGTTCTCAAACTTAGAAAATAAACCTAATATGATCTTTCAACTAACGGTTTTCGTCGTCGACCGTTACGGTGCTGACGTGTCACTTCACGATACTGACGTGATAGTCCACAGTGACTAGTGACGTGGAAGATGATGTGATAAATGGGCTAAATTGGTTTTTTTGGTCGAGTTCGAGGGTCAAATTGGTTTTTTTGGTCGAGTTCGAGAGTTTATTTGATTTGTTCAGAAAAAATTGATTTTAGATTTAAATTTTAAATTTAAACTATACAAATACAAAATTTGATTCCTTTGAAAAGTTGGATAGTTTGGATTATGAATAATTTGCAAAAATTGAAGGTACAAAGGGTATAAAATGTTTAAAGATTGTGAAGAAAGAAATGAAAGAATTTGTATAAAACGACATAAAACAATTAAAAACATAAGGTTAATATCAAATTATTTTTTGAGTCATTTTATTTAATTATTGATTGAATACTAATTTACTTGACATTATTATTATAATTTAAAAAAATAAACATTTATATGTATTTTAATTTATTAATTTAACTTAAAGGTTGAAATTTAAAAATAATTTAAGTATTATAATTTTTTTAAAAGTAAGTATCATATTTCCTTGGTAATTTGTAATTTTAAATTTTTTTAAATATATATATTTAAATTTTTTAGTAATTTAATTTTTATTTTTAGTATTTTATATTCCTTTTTTTTTCTATATTTGTATAGTTTAAATTTAAATTTTAAAATCTAAAATATTTTTCTTAAAAAAATCATCTGCCATGTCACCAACCATTGTGGATCGCCACATCAGTATTGTGCAATGTCACGTTAACACCGTAACGGTCAACGACGAAAATCGTCGGTCAAATGGCCACATTAATTTGTTTTCTAAGTTTAAAAGTCACATTAGGTGGAAAAAAATGACAAAGGCACATTGATTTTTTTTAAAGTACGAGGACGTCACTTACCCTTTTACTTAAATTTTTTTAATATAATTTCTTGATAGTTGTATACAACCCATGTTCGTATAAGTTTAGTGTCTTGGTTACTGGTGAAAAAAAGATTAGAGTGTTGGTTATTGATGTTATGTTTTAAAAAAAATAAAAAATATTTTTTAAAAATAAATTTTATTTTTTTAGGATCAAAATATTGCAAGAGCTTGTAAATATAAAAAGTTAAATTGTTAAATTATTTAAAATAAAGATTAAATAAAGTGAATGAATAAACTTTAAGAGTTAAATCTGTTGTTATACCAATTAAAAATAAACAACCTCATCATTTCCATTAACTATTGGAAGGATGACCACATTGAAACTAATTTATAAAGTTAGTGATTATATTTGCAAAAACAAGTATCCATTGACTTAAATAGAGTCAACCCTATAATTTGGTGACTAATGTGATAGTCTACCCTAATATTAATAATAAACAATTAATTGATGAGATAATATCATGTAGGTCCTTGAAACTAATTTATTCATTGTATAAAGTCTCTGGGTATTTGAAATAAACTAATTTATAAACTAATTCATATTTGATGGATGAGCTAAACTAAAAAGCTTTACAAAATATGAGAAATCTTCTGCATTTGTATTTGTTCAAGAAAGTTGCATGAATTCTTTATTGTTCTGTCTCAAACCTTTATGACTGTAGGGCATGGCATGATGTGCACCAAGCTTAGGAAGATTGTTGATAGAATTGTTAAGATATTTCCGGAAATTGAAGCTGCTCGACCGAGATCCTCCTCAGGCATAAAGGCACTGTGCTCGCTGAATGGTGCGATCGAGAGAGCAAAGTTACTTCTTCAGTACTGCAGTGAATCCAGCAAACTGTATCTGGTATGTTTCTTGTAATTAATTACTTTTGTGATTGTAAAGTAGGCCTTTTGGTTGATTTCTCTGCAATTACTTTCAGGCAATAACGACCGATGCCATAGTCTCGAGATGTCAAAAAAAGAAGAATTTGTTTGAACAATGTTTATGCCAAATTCAGAGTATGGTTCCAGTTATGCTGGCTGATGAGGTTTGTCAAATTACATGCCTTATTAATCTTCTATTTGCGCTTCTTCTTTTACCAGCAATTTCTTGTATTTTCATTCTTCTATTCTCTCAAACAAATGGCCAACATGAGTAACCTTACTGTCAAATAAATTATTTTAGTTTTTGGATGACTTCTTTTCATGATGCCCCTGTTGTGTCTTCAAGCTGATATCGAAATGTTACTGCAGATCTCTTGAATTGTCGATGATCTAGGAGCTGCAAATTTTGTCCCTGATAAATTTGAGGAAGAGGCCGGGAAAGTTATACGCGAATTACTCCAGCAAGGAACTGCGGCATCGGATTCAATGGAACATGCCGAAATGAAAGCTCTTCAAATTGCAGCATCAAGACCTCATACATATTGATAGAGAAAAGATCTATAAAGAAGTTCCTCAAAAGATCCAGTGAAAGATATCAGAAAAAGAAAAAGATCTTGAAATATCTTTTATATATGTTGAGGAAGTATGCTAACTTGATTATCAGTGCGCAGACAGAGCCTTTGCAGTAAATACTCACTCTTGCCGAAGCTGAATCTCAAACCAAGTATAGGCAGTATGATGCTCGATCGGAAACGTTAAATCTAGCTATAATACCTCCTGAGGAATTCAAGTGCCCCATATCTTCGAGATTGATGTATGATCCTGTTGTCATTGCTTATGGACAAACATTTGAAAGGACTTGGATCCAGAAATGGTTTGATGATGGTAATGACACATGCCCTAAAACCGAGACGAAACTAGACCATCTATTGTTGACCCCAAATGTTTCCATGAAGGACCTGATCACAAAATGGTGTAGGAAATATGGAATCACCATTCAGGACCCAAGTATCCAACCGGACAAGCTTTGTTCATTGGAAAGTTCTTCCACTTCCATAGCTAGTTTCGGCAGTTCTACGAATAATCTTCGCTTTCCATTAGACATCAGCAGTATATCACTTGAATCTTTAGATACTAGTTATACTTCGGATGGATCTCGGAACAGGATTGAAGTTGGCTCGAGTTTGATGCCTGAGCAGAGGCAGACCGGATAAGACCTTGGGCAGTATCAATCTCTTGGCAAAACAAGCGTGATTGATTTAGAGTGTCTTTCTGGCCTTGCCAAGCTTGATCGAGAATCACAATGCAAGATGATTCAAGACATGAAAAACCATTTCAAATGTAATGATCTAGATTATCTTTCTTTGATGTCCAAGAATTTCATCGAACCTTTGATTGAATTTTGGAGCAGTGCTAATGGTTTGCATGATATAAGAGCACAGAGAGCTGGATTTCAGTTGTTATCAACATTTCTGAGCAAGAACAGGTAATTATCATTCCATGTGCATCTGCGGCTACTAACATTTCAGTTGTCATTAGATTTGTGACTCTTTTCACTGTTTTCCGAGCTTCTTGCAGGAACGGCACACGACACTTAAACGATGATGCATATTTATGCTGTCATTGCTTATTGACTCGGAAGTAACTCAAGAGGTTCTCGACATTATGTTAGTATTGTCTGAACATAGCAGTTGTGGGTCTAAGATATCTGCATCTGGTGCTCTTGTTTCCATGTTAAACATTCTTGAATCGAGCATCAAAGATTTCCAGAAACAAATCCTCAAAATTGTCACACCCCAACTTAGGATCTAAAATTTTCTTAAAATTTATTTTGAGGACTAAATTAAAATTTTAACTAAATTAGGGGACCAAAATAAAATTTTGATTAAATTTGAATCCAAATAAAAAAAGAAACTAAAAATAGAATATCTATAATGTAATTATATCATTTTTCCTAAATGTGGGTTTAAAAGCCCAAAATATCATAAACTTTACCCTTCTCCTCTCTCTCTCTTCAACCTTTCCTCTTTTAGTATGAAATCTTTAATCGACATTTTGTCGTCAATCGTTGTTCTGTTTTCGATACCTCCCACACTATCGTGTTTCTTGCGTCATCTCGAGTCCACCGGTGTCCATCTTGTGTCCTTTGCTAACAACGTGTGAGGGGTGAGAAAGAATAAGTTTACGACGTTGCGAAATCGAGCTCTCTGTCGTTCACCGTAGTGAATCAAACTTGGTAAGTGTCTCAAAACCTCTTAAAATGCATATAGAAAATTTTTCGTAATTTTTTCGACCCCTGAAGGCTCCGCACACGCTTGCGTGTGGGGAAGGTCAACTGCCTGGGGGGCTTCTAAAAGCACGATCCGACCCGACCCGACCTGTCTGCACGATCCGACCCGCCCGTCCGACCTGACCCGGTCCAACCCAAACCAAACCGATCAGCCGTTGACCGTTGACCATATGTTGACTGTTGGCCGCCATTGACTTTTTTTGAAAACCTCCATCTTGACGTTTTTCGATGTCCTGGGTCCGATTTTGCGATTCATTTTGCCAAATCCTGATTCGAAAGCCCCGAATCGAGCCTGTTAACCCAAAAATACTTAGTATTTTTAGCATTTTTTATTATTTATTTGAGGTTTGAATATGAAATTAATTCGAGAATATTTTTTTTATGAAGGTGCGTGTGTTTCTCCCGACTAAGGGTCGATTAGATCTGATGCTTCCCGTCTGTCAGATCCGCTCGATCCGCATTCTTCGAGAGTTACTCGTAGGTTCCCGTAAATTATTTAAATAGAGGTTATTATTATTCATATTAGGAATCTGATATAAATTTTTTGATTCGTAGGATCTAGCACTGCCGCTGATCGTGATGGGAAGACTCTGTAGTAGGCTTCCTTATCAGATTACTCAGACCGATACATGTGTGTTTCTTGATGGTGTTACATTACTATTTTAAACTATTTATCTAACCTGTTTTAGATTTCTGATGGTACTGAATATTTTTACGACACAATACCTAATTTTCTTAATATTATTTATCTGATATCTGATTTACTGTATATTTTTTATATGATCTATGATTACTATATTTCTGTATCTGATTTCTGAGTATGAAATATTTTCATGTTTTAATGAATTAAACTATCATTTTCACTCGAATACATACATGTTTATTACTGTCATTAGGGGTATTATTGGAGAAAGTATATCAAGCCTAGTCTATGACTTGTAAGACCTTACTGCAGACTCCTCTGCTTTGTGCTCAGGGTAAGTCCTTACTGCAGGTCCTTATGCTATATGTATAAGGCCCTTACCGAGTGTACTGATGGGTATATGGTTATGAGGAACCTACACATTTTGGTGATCTGATGGGGGTAGTGTTAATATTTTTAAAGCATGTTTGATGAACTATTTTTTTACTGAAGTATTTTATCTGTATGTTTTTATGTAAATTTTAACATTTTTAAGATAGTAGGAGACTGTAAATTAGTAGACTTGGCATCAGGAGAACCGACTACTCTAATTTTTGTACCATTGTATATCTCTATATACCTTTTTGTTACACTTTGGGGACACATGTTTTTGCTACTGTCTTAATATATCTATATTACCGATATTTTGTTCTGTATGTGTGTTTTATATGATTTTCCGATATATATATATATATGTTTATCGTATGAATCTTTCTTATAGCTAAGTTCATATTATACAATTATATAGAATTTTAACGTTGTTTTAAATATAAAAAGAATTTCCGAATACTATATATAACAGTCTAGATTTTTTCATAACGTCTAGGTCGGGTTTAGGGTTACAAAATTTTTGCATAAACTGTCCTCCTCGATCACCAATATTTGTTCCGATTTGGTGTTTTTAGAGTGTTTCCCGAAACTTGTTACATACTTACAAGACACCACACTTGCGAGGCACTGCGTAGTAGTGTTGAGAAACTTGTGCAGTAACCAAGAGGCTAGGACTTGGATCACTCGAACATCGGGCTGCATTGCTTCTATTGCTGCGGTACTCGAGACCGGTGGTCACGAGGACCAAGAGCATGCGGTGGCTATTCTCCTTATGTTGTGCTCGCAGAGTATTGAATACTGTCGCTCGGTGATGGATGACTGTTGTATATTTCCTCTCCTTTTTGATTTATCAGTTAACGGAAGCGAAAAGGGAAAGACAAGTGCAATGGAATTGCTTCGGCTCCTTAGGGATACAAAACATGATAATGGTGATGATGATGAACAACACAAATGCTCTAACTCCAACGACGTCGAATACGAAGATGCTAACGACTATTCCAGACAAGATGTCTCGTAAGACATTGTTTGGAGTGAAATTACCAACGTTCGCGAGATCCAGTGCACCAAAAAAGAAGAAATGAAACTGGGATTTTACTGCTCTGTCAATATTATGGTTGACAAATCTTTACCTGATAAGATGTTTTACTCTTTCCAGGGAGAGATTTGCTTTCTGGGATTTGGCAACGCTATCTTCATTCTGTAGATAAAAATATAGACAATTTGCTGTTAATTGTCTTGATTCTAATTAAGATTCCCAAACAAAATACAATTCAGATTGCACGATGCACTGAAAAGCTAGCAATCAACCAGCAAAGTCCGTACAAGAAAAGCTTCCATCCGAATACAAATGCTAGTACTGAAATACAAGAAGCATTACAGAGGAGAAAGCTGTACATCTCACCCACAAGCTACCATTTACAGGCTGTTTTTGCTGGCTTGCAATAAAGCTGATGATACTAATCCATGGCAACACCAATGATACCAATCTCCAATCATTCACAAGCTGGTTTGGTGTCAAAGCTGCTAAGACAGATTGCAAAGGCTTGGAAAGCGGATAGGGGGTATCGATAATCCATGGTGAAGATGTCCTTGCCAATTTTTCCAAACTGTAAGATTACCTTCTCTTGATTTTCAGGTGATACATTATGCGCAGGCTCAACAGCTGCAACAAGCTGGAAATTCTTAACAGAGGCCACCGTCACACGACCCTGAAATTGAGGCACCAGCACTGTAACTGTTCATGCCATCTAGGAGCCTTGTTTTTAAGGGTTAACGGCTCTCCCGAGCCCAGGGAAAATAAAGGTGTGACTGCCAGGCCTGGGGAGCCGGTCTCTGTCAGTGGTCCTTTTCCTTTTGAACTAGGTAAGGGAGAAAGCTGGTCGTTGAAGGATTGCTGCAATGCCAAAGGTGTTGGGGCAGTGCCTCCTTCCTGAATAGCAGAGACAGGAATTGAATGCAAAATGCAAGTCATTCTCCTCGGTCCTCGGGTTCGCAGAACATTGAGCTCATAGGTAATGGCACCTATGCTGTAGTTGCATGCAGGTAATCTCGGGGACACCTGCTTAGAGTGGAATCTCCGATGGGTAATCAATGGGATCATTGAGTCGCACGGAGTTTGACTGTCATAAATGGTGAACTTGGTACCCAAAAAGTTAGACCTGAAAGGAAACTCGCAATGTCACCCTTGGCATCAAGCTAGTGTAATCAAGGAAACATAAGATATCAAATTGCAAGACTTGCCTTAGTTTACCAGCATACGAATAGCTGGCCCTAGCAAAATCATCAGCAGCCAAAGATATAACGAAGTCTGTGCATGTTGCCCTTCTGACTTTTCTTGCTGCCAAAAGCAATTTATGAGTCTCTCCTTCGGCTGTAATCAAAGCAGCGACACAAGTTGATACATATAAAATAGTGAGCAAGCTTCATATTATCGTACTTGAAGAATCTTGAAAATGGTAATATCATAGCCCCATTTGGCCATACCCATGTCTGAATATATCTCATATATTAATGCTTCAAGAAAAAAGATAAATAAATAACCAGTTTACAAGAAACACAAAGGACAATATAAACGAGATGACTTACATGGTACCAGACCATAGAACAAAAGATATGTAGAAGTTGCTCTGTCCCTTCTAATATAGCATTGTATCGGAGACTCACGAGGACCGGGCTGTTCATGAGCACAAAGCAGGTATAAAAAATTAGACTTAGCTTAATATGCATGCATTTGAAAGTTCTTAATATACAACAACCACCCAATGATCATTCCATGATGGAAATGTCACAACAAGGCATATTGAATTGTCAGCAATTAGTAAATTCTTGACATAGATGCATGTTGTTGATGGTCTTTTCAGAAGAAGGGTAAATGAACCTACAAACAGTAGAAGTAGAGGGGCACAGGAGTAGGTACTCCGAAACATGCTCTAGTTCTCAAGTCTGCAAATATTGGATAGAGCTCTTCATTGCTACTCCGATATTTGCCGACTCAAACCAGAGCACGCCCAAGAATACCAGCTCTGGTTTCCTCCTAACTTTATTCAATCTCTTGCAGCTTCATTTACCCTTCATTCAAATAGACCGAAACACACACAACTAAGTTTTTTTTTTCTCCCCGTAATGTAAAATTAGCTAAAATCTATACATTTTGGGATCAAAATGGCAACTTTCCAATAATAGTATAACCTGCTTCAATGAGATTGGAAACGTTAGCCTTCCGCATTGCTCAGGAGTCTTCACAATCTCCTTTGTAATTTCCCTCCAAGACCTACAAACTGCAGCACAAAAAACAACAGCAGCTCGAGCAGGCCAAGCTGTTTCACTCTCTTCCACCCTATGGATGATATCTAAGAGCAACTCTGGCGGCAGATTCGCCCAAGGGCATTGCTCGACGCATTCGGATTCCACCGGTGGCTGATCCTGAACCACATGGGATCGAGTCCGGCTACGCCAAAGCTTGCTCTCCCCACCTCTCTTTGATATGTTCCCAATACCATCTTTCATTTCCTTTAACTCTCGCATCATACTCTTTAGTGACATATTTTATAAGCATACCAAATCCTATCTCTCAATATTCAACTGCAAATATAATAATATAACATTAAAAACACCAGAAATAAATATCTTTTGTCAATCATTCATATCTCAGCTAAACTAAAAGCAAATTTCTATGAAATCGAACTTCCATAGACCAAAATCTTCAAACCTTAATAACAATTAATACCCAGAAACTAAAAGAGGGAAAACCCAAAGATCAAAATCTTCAAACTTTAATAACAAATAATACCAAGAAACTAAAAAAAGGAAACCCCAAAGATCAAACAGCCAATAATGACGTAAAAACACACAAAAATTAATAACTTTTCACCTAAACAAAAAGTTAAAGAAATGTGGACAAACCAGTTCTAAGCCCACCGGTTCAAATCAACCGAAAACAGAACCAGCTCAGATTCATCTCCAAACGACACACGGTTTAATCAATACCACAAACTAATATGAAAAATCAGTTAACAGTGAAAGAAATTAATAAAAATGCCTTTTTGGTGAGAAAAAAAATGCCAACTTCTACTTTTATGAGTGGGAATCTTAGATGTCCACGTCAATAGTAACCCCTACGCCACCGCCTTAACCGCCGTCAGCGCCGGCATTCTAACAGCCAATCACCCGCTCTTAGGATGATATTTGGGTCTTATCACCAGCACTAATGATTTTTGTGAGTTAAAAAAAATGCGTGATGACTAACACACGTGGCAATCAGCAAATCAAGTGTTTCGGGAGATACGTCTTTTCCTAACCATCTGATCAGCATTTGATGGATTTGGAACATCTGCTTTTCAAATCAATTTCTCCTTTTATTTACCAATTTTATAAAAGGGTAAACTACAATCAAGGTCACTGAATTGTGTGTTTTGTAACAAACAAATCATTTTAGAAAAAAATATTAAAAAAATAACTCAATTAAAATAATGTTATAAACATGTCATCTCGTTATTAAAATTAAAACGGGCGTCTAATGTATCTTTATATAATAATATTTTTAATTTCCAAAATCTATACATTTTATCAATTATGTCTTAATTCAAAATAATTCAATAAATTTAATCTTCATATTTAAAAATTCTATCAATTTTATCTTTTATTACGATACTGACAAACCAAACGAGAGTATAAAATCAAATTAGTTAGATAACTGTATTTTTTCATAAAACAATAACAAACTACTGTTAAATTGTTATTATACCAAAAAATGACATAATAATAATATAACATTCATGACAAAAGAATACTTATTTTAGGAGAATAGTACATATTAAAATAACAACATTTTAAATATAAAGAATTAAATTTATTAAATTACTTCAAAATAAAATCAAAATAATAAATTATACAAAATTTAAAAGTTAAAATATTAGTATATCATACCATAACATTATCTCATCTATAAATATTTATCTCAAGATATAAAAAGAAAATTGAATTAGACATGTATATATACAAACAATGTAGAAAATAATGAAAAAGAATAGTTAAAATCCAAAATAATATTTTACCTTGTCCTCAAGTAATCTTCTTGCGGGTGAACCGCCATAATCATCGGTGACGTAGAAATTCTAAAATACAACTCGTTAATATATGATTGAAAAACAATAAAAATTAGTTGTAATTAAATTTTTTATTGAAAACGTAACTTTTTAGTTTTGACAAAATAATGTTTTATATTAAAATGAAAATATTATTATTTTTCATAATATTTTTTATTGCAACTGACAATGTTACATTTCTTATAATATTTTCAATTGTAACCTTTAAACTCCTTGTAATATAATTTTTCAATTATGGAAAAATATTATAAAATTGTATAACTTTTAAAGTTAAACAAGATAATATTTTATGTTGAAAATCATAATAAATTAATTTTAAATTAGATTATCACACAACGTAACTACCATAAAAGTGGTGAAGTCCCATTTTCATTGTTTTTGGTGGAAAGCAATTTCTAAACAGCTCCATGAAAAATTAATGGAAGGGGACAAATCATAATGAGATATGGAAGATAAAGATGGTCTATATGGATATAAGTTGGTTTAAGTAATGATAGTTGAGTTTAATGGTATGATAGGGGCTTAAAATATGAGAATTGAGTGAAGAGATGATGATTTTCGGGTTTAAACAGTAAAATTATGGGTTTTACAGATTAAACAGGGGGAACAGATACCCCCTGGGGGTACCGATTCCCCCTAAAGAAAAAATGGAATTTTGGTTCATTAAACTAGCTTAAGCTATTAACATCAAGCTTAAGGTTTAGGCTTCTGATAATTGGAAATTATGTTTATGTAGATATTGAGCCTAAACAAGTTCCAGAATAATCAAAGAATTAGGATCGAATCAAAGCAAGGCTAAGGCGCGTGCAATTTAATTTGTACTTAGGTTATTGAACAAACATTGGCTAGCGATGAGTTAGTGACGGAGTTACTGTGGTAAGAAGTGACTCCTAAAATATTATTCGATTTGTGAGTGATATGATGCTTATGTGGCATGAGTGTATGTGATATATATATTATTGCATATGTTACATGAATTGTGTGAATACATGTTAGTGTGGTAAGCTATGTGAAGTGGTATAAATAATGTATGAGATTACATAAGTTATATGATATGAGATAAGACAGACATATGTGGTTATATGAGACATGATAAGAAAAATAGGAGAAAAGGAATATGAGATATGTGAAAGTGAATATATGTATACAAGACATAACATACATGCTTACATAAAAACATGAGAAATGATATAAGTCATATGAAACGATCTACATGAATACATGCACTTGTGATACATGTGATGTGATATGAGATATATGCTTACACATACATATGGTATGTGATAGAAGACAAAGAAATATGTGATCATATGAAATGTGATAAAGAGCTATGTGAAATAACAAGTGATATGAAATGTATAAATGATAATGTGTTGAAAATATTTTGATATTTCGATATAACAAACTAAGTTTAAATGAATTTTAAGATTTTACAAATGATTTTCTAAAGTATATTCGATTCAATTAATCGAATATCAAATTATTACTCCAAGTCCTTCAAGATCATTTCAAACCTTCCTAAATGTGTAAAATTGTGTTTTATACTTAAACTATTTTGAAACAATTTTCGCAAAGTATTTTGAACCAAAATCAAGCCTAAAATAAAATTTTCAAAGTGATGCACTGATGCACCAATCCATGCATCGATGCACCATGGAATTAATTGAACATCGAATGCATTTTATGCATCGATGCACATACCATGCATCGATGCACAAGACCATGCATCGATGCACTCAGGCTATTTCAAAACATCAAATGCATTTTATTCATCGATGCACTCTAAGTGCACCGATGCACTGAGAGTCCAACGGTCAAAATATTTGAATTTTACACTTGATGCAACGATGCACCTAGGGTATTCATCGATGCATGAGACGTTTCTAACCATTAATATTAAATGTTTTCACACTTAAACGACTCTATTGACTCCACTAAGCATCCCCGACGTTCAGAATTATTTGAAGGTGAATTTAAACAAGCTTAGAAGCCATTGATCAAAAACAAGAAACAACAAGCAACTAGAATCAAGAGAGAATCAAAGAGAAAGCATCAAACCTCAAGTTTGAACATTTCAAGCCTATTTTTTATTCAATATTCATTTTGCTTTCAAGAACACTACTTGTACTCAATTGTATTCATTTTTAGTGTTCTTTTCTTTGTTCTAGAATTGTGCAAACAATCTACCTTGTGAGGATTTCCTTATAAGTTTGCAAATTTGTAATATTCTCTTTGAGAAAGAGTGTTCTCAAGAATTGGGGTATAATCTTGAGGGTGTTGTAAGGTTATCTCTTTGGCCTCAAAAGAAAGAACAAATTAGTGAATTTGTTAGAAAATCCTTAGTGTGGATAGATAAGGTAGTGGACGTAGACTTTGGTTGAGAAAGTCGAACCACTCTAAATCGCTGTGCAAATCTTTTCAATTTTCTGCAAAAGCTTCCACCAGATTTTTATTTGCCAATTCACCCCCTCTTGGCCAATTCCGTCGATCGATTAACTCAACAATTGGTATCAGAGCCTAACTCATTTGAATGTTTAATCACCTCTTGAGTCGATTCGGGAAGAGTTACATCGATAATCAAAGTCATCAATGCCTCCACTTTAAACGTCGACTCCGGTCTCGATTCGATGCCCGTCAACAAGCCTCCTTTCTTCAATGTGGCTAATTATGCCTATTGAAAGAATAGGATGATGTATTTCATTCAAGATAGTGACATGGGAGCATAGAATATTATAGAAGAAGAATATATCAAGCCTCTCACTCATCCAAGATTGTGGAGTGAATGAGAGACAAGAATGCTCCAACTCAACTCCAAAGCCATCCATATCATATTGTGTGCTCTTGGACTAGATGAATATGGAAGAGTTTCATCTTGTACAACCGCCAAAGAAATATGGGATAAACTACAAGTCACTCATGAAGGCATCGACGAGGTAAAAGAATATAAAATTAGTCTTCTAACAGATAGCTATGAAAATTTCAAGATGAAACCAAATGAAGATATCAAAGCTATGACAGATAGATTCTCAACGATTGTCAATGGTATCAAATCATATGGAGAGATCATACCAAATGAAAAGCTTGTGAGGAAGTTAGTTTACTCACTTCTAAAATCATGGAAATCCAAGAAGACTGCAATCATCGAGGCTAAGAACCTAAAGTCCTTAACTCTTGAAGAGCTAATCGATTCCCTCTTCACTCATGAAATGATGCTTGAAGATGAGGTGGACCTCGATAAGATTGACGAGACACCAAAGGAGAAAGAGAAGAAGAAAAACATTGGAGTTGCTCTCAAATCCACAAAAGATGAGAGTGATTCGGATGAATATGGCGATGACGAGGAAATGCATTGTTTGCCAAACGGTTCAAAAAAATGATGAGACCTTACCGAGGAAGAAAATTCAAACGAAATGAAGGCCTAAAAAATGAACCAAAAGATAATGACCCTATCATTTACTATGAATGCAAAAAGCTGGGGCATGTAAAATATGATTGCCTACAATTAAAAAGAAATGGTCAATAAAAAAATAAGCACAAGGCTCATGTGGCTACATGGAGCGATGAAGAGGGTTCCGATGAAGAGGAACAAGAAGTAGCAAACTTGTGCTAGATGGCATTCGGGGAAGATTCTAAGGTAACCTCTAACTCATCTGAATTTGATGATTTATCTTATGATGAGCTATTAGAGGAATATAATGGGTTGGCTTCGGATTATGAGAAATTGTTTAAAATAAAAATGATGTTTCAAAATTGAAAATAAAATAAACTCATATCCAAAACCAACAACGATCTTGAAAGTAAAATCAAAGATTTGCAAATCAAACTAGAAGAGTTTGAAAAGAAAAAATTGGATTTGCAAAATTTACTTTCAAAGGTCAATGATGATCATCAAAAGAAAATTGATGATCTTAAAACTTCTTTTGATAAAGTTAGAACAAAACGTTTTGAAAATGGAGAAAATTCAAAATCCAACTTTGTTAGAAAAAGTTTTAAAAACTACAATCATAGAGGTCCCCGAAGAACCTCTAATGGAAAATCGTTAGAAATATATGAGTTCCTAAAGAGCTCATTACTACTAAAGATAAGGATATCCTACACAAATGGATACCTAAGGGGGCTAGGATTTTGGAAACTAATGAATATGGACCCAAAAGAATTTGGGTACCAAAAATTAGAAATTAATCTATGTTTGTAGGGAAAGGAGCATTGCTACAAGGCACGAGAAACAAATTCAAACTCATGGTACCTTGATAGTGGATGCTCAAGACACATGATCGGAGACAAAAACCGGTTCATAGAACTTAACGCCAAAAATGGAGGAGAAGTGATTTTTGGTGATAATTCAAAAGGTCACATCGAAGGTATAGGTACTATAGGTAATACATCTTCCATACAAATTAAAAATGTTTTATATGTGAATGGATTAAAGTATAATCTTTTAAGTATTAGTCAATTATGTGATAAAGGATTCAATGTCATATTTGAAACCAATGGTTGTAAAGTATTGACATTGCATCTAATCGAATTATGTTTGTTGGTCATAGAATAGGAAACATATACATGGTGCATTTAGACTATATTGATATGACTAATTTATGCCTAGTTGCTAAGGATGAGCATGATAGTTGGTTATGGCATAGGAGACTAGGACATGCTAGTATGAGTGTTTTGCAACAGTTAATTCAAGGTGATTTAGTTCGAGGGTTGCCTAAACTAAAATTTGATAATGATAAAATCTGTGATGCTTGTGCTAAAGGAAAACAAAAACGAGTTTCTTTTAAATCCATTAATGATGTATCAACTAGTAGAGTATTACAATTGATCCATATAGATCTTTTTGGGCCAACTAGGACTACTAGCTTGGGTGGAAAATAATATGCATTTGTCTTGGTAGAGGACTATTCTATATATACTTGGGTTCTATTTTTAAGTACTAAAGATGAAGCATTAGAAAAATTCATCACGTTTTCAAAAGTAATCCAAAATGAAAAAGGTTACTCTATAACTAATGTTAGGAGTGATCATGGAACTGAATTTGAAAACCTTGAATTTAGTGAATTTTATGATTCTAAAGGTATTAGCCATAATTTTTCAGCACCTAGAACCTCTCAACAAAATGGAGTTGTTGAGAGGAAAAATCGAACTTTAGAAGAAATGGCTAGAACCATGCTTTGTGAAAACAATTTGCCAAAATATTTTTGGGCGGAAGCCACAAATACCGCTTGTTATGTTATTAATCGAGTAATGATTAAGCCTATTTTAAAGAAAACTCCATATGAAATTATCAAAAATAAAAAGCTAACATTAGTTATTTTTATCCTTTTTGATGTAAATGTTTTTTTAAACTACGGTAAAGACAGTCTTAGCAAATTTGATGCTAAAAGTGATGAATGAATTTTTCTAGGCTATTCCTTAAGTTCTAAAGCTTATCGAGTATTTAATAAAAGAACTTTAGTTGTAGAAGAGTCTATACATGTTGTTTTTGATGATAATCTCCTTCCGAGGAAGGATTCTTGTTTGAATGATGATGTAGGTATTATAAATACAAATGACGTTAGACATGACGTTGGAGAATCATCATCAAAGGAAGAAACGAAAGAAGAGGAAACTCATGATCCTCTCGACAATCCAACTATTGAAGGAAGGGAAGTATCTTACCCAAGAGAGTACAACTATGTCAAGGATGGTGAAATCATAGGTGATCCATCCAAAGGAGTAACAACTCGATCTTCTCTTAGAAATATTTGTAATTATGTTGCATTTATCTCATACATAGAGCCTAAGAATATTAAAGAAGCATTAAATGATGAACATTGGATTATGGCTATGCAAGAAGAGTTAAATCAATTTGAGAGAAGTAAAGTATGGACATTAGTTGAAAGGCCTAGTGATAAATCTACTGTGGATACTAGATGGGTGTTTAGGAATAAGCTTGATGAGAGTGGTAATATAGTGAGAAACAAGGCTAGACTTGTTGCTCAAGGGTATACTCAAGAAGAGGGCATAAACTATGATGAAACATACGCTCCCGTAGCTAGGATGGAAGTAATTAGAATGTTATTAGCATTTGCATGTTTTCATTAATTTAAATTGTATCAAATGGATGTTAAAAGTGCATTTTTAAATGGTTTTATAAAAGAAGAAGTGTATGTGGAACAACCTCCAGGTTTTGAAGATTCAAAATTTCCAAATCATGTTCTTAAATTGACAAAAGCACTTTATGGTTTAAAACAAGCTCCAAGAGCTTGGTATGAAAGATTGCCAAACTTTAATTGAAAAAGGTTTTTCAAAAGGGAAGGTTGACACTACATTGTTTTTAAAGCATAAAGGTAAAGATTTATTAGTAGTTCAAATTTATGTTGATGATATAATATTTGGTTCTACTAATGATATTCTTTGCCAAGAATTTTCTAAGCTAATGCAAAGTGAATTCGAAATGAGCATGATGGGGGAGCTCTCATTTTTCTTGGGACTCCAAATCAAGCAAAGAAAATATGGCATCTTCATCAATCAAGCTAAGTACGTCAAAGATATGCTCAAGAAGTTTAGACTGGAAAATGGCAAACCTCATGACACTCCAATAATCTCTTCAACAAAGCTTGACTTAGATGAAGGAGGTAAATGTGTAGATGTTAAATTATATAGGTCAATGATTAGATCTTTACTTTATCTAACTGTAAGCAGACCGAACATTATGTTTAGTGTTTGCTTATGTGCTAGATTTCAATCATGCCCTAAGGAATCACATTTTCTAGCTGTTAAGAGAATCTTTAGATACCTTAAGGACACTCCTAGTTTAGGTCTTTAGTATCTTAGAGACTCTAGCTTTAGCTTGCATGCCTTTTCTGATGCGGATTATGGAGGATGCAAATTAGATAGGAAAAGCACCTTCGGTACTTGCCAATTCCTTGGAAATATGCTGATTTCTTGGTTTTCAAAGAAACAAAATTGTGTTGCATTATCTACCACTTAAGCGGAATACATTTCAGTCGGTAGTTGTTATGCACAAGTTTTATGGATGAAACAACAACTTTTTGATTATGGAATTGAAGTAAGTACTATTCCTATCAAGTGTGATAATACTAGTGCTATTTGTCTCACTAAAAATCCCATCCAACACTCTAGAACTAAGCATATTTAAATAAGACATCACTTCATTAGAGACCATGTCCCTAAGGAAGATGTAGTTCTAGAATTTGTTGATACTTTGCACAATTAGAGGATATTTTTACAAAGCCTTTAGACAAGGAAAATTTGGACACTTAAGAGAGAATTAGGTTTAACCAACCTATCTTCACTTAGTGTTTAAAATAATTTTAACACTTTTAAGAATAAATGAAAAATGCTTATAATAATAATTTTTTATTGCATTCTATGCTATTAGTTAGGGGGAGTTTATGTTATTTGGTGAAAATTAATTTTATGTTCAAATGTAGTTTAAGGAATAATTTGATTGATTGAACATGATTAATTTTCAATATATGAGTTACCAAAACCACTAGAGCTAATTAATTTAGCATTTTGAGTGTTTAAAATGGATTTTCGACATTTTTGTGCTTAATGCATCGATTCACTTAACAATGCATCGATGCATCCCTTTGAATGTGCATCGATTCATCTTGCCGATGCATGCCTTGAATGTACATCGATGCACAGGGTCATGCATCGATGCATCCGTCGGGTTTTAGGTTAAAAAGGCTTATTTTCTCATTTGTTTCAAAACCTAAAACTAAACTCTCTTAACCGTTCGCCTCCTCTCTCTTTCCTACTCTCAAAATTGCTCCAAATCCTTGGTTTTTGATCGGAATCTTTGAGCTTTCAACTCCTAATCCTGCTTCAATCATTAATTCGTGCAAAACATCAATACATCCCTCTCAATCGAATTTTCAAGGTAAACTTTTCTAAAAACTCATTTTATCAATTTTCGATCTTAGGGCTAGTTTTGATTAGTTCTAGGATGAACATTATATCAGTCATTGGTTATATGATGATTCTAAACTATATTTTACAACAAATTTCATAAAAAACACACAGTTTTTCAAAATTTTATTTGAAATTCGAAATTAAAAAAAATTATTTTCGAAAATCATTGATGTTTTTGACTTCATTATATTGTTTTTATGAAAACTATATGTATTGCAATATTTCCAATGATATTTTCAAATAGTTTTCAAAACTTTACCCATTAGGATTGTTTTAGAGAACCTTGATTATTGCAGACTCAATTGAGTTTTGGGATTGATTATTGTGCATACATGTTTTTCAATTTGCAGGTTATCTATTTCTTTCCTTTTTCCAATCTTTAAATCATGTCAAATCCCAAACGTCCTAGGTCTTCTTCGAGTCGGTCAAACCAAAATCGTCCTCCCGTTCCTCCACCACAAAATCCAAACAATCCTTAAAAGACCATAATTAATACATGTTTTAATATGCCTGAACGTCGGAGAGAAGAATTTTACCATAGGTACATGGATTCTTTCTAATCTTATAGAATTAGGGAAGAACGTATTCCATCTCTACAAGTCATGATAGACTTTAAATTTGAATACCTCCTGATTCTTAGAACATGGAAGTTTGATAAACTATTTTCTCTTAGACATGTCGTCTTTCATCAATTAGTCCGTATTTTCTATTCTAATGCGGTCTGTATTCAAAATGAAACTCAATGTGGAACTATACGAATTAGATCCTACCTTTTAGGACAATATATTCTTATTGATTCCGCAACTATAGCTTCAAAATTTGGGTTAGATGACAATGGTGTATATGACGAAAAAGAAACTGTGGAATATCCATATCTCCCAAACGCTAGTGTTAGTACCCTTCGATCTCATCACGATTGTTTTCTTCATTTAATGATCTTGTGGTGGTTTCGACCATCCGCGGGTAGGTACTCCACTCTTCGTGCTAGGGATTTATGGTGGATGTATTGTATTAAGAATAAGATCAAAATATAAATCTTCCACAGATTATCTTTAGTGTGCTAGTCGATACCGTAAACATTATCCCATCCAAACATGTTGAAACATTAGTTTATGGTTGTCTTCTTAGCAATCTCTTTATCAAACTCGGTCTGGATATCTCTCTTGACAATCCTATTCCTCTCCAAAACCCAATCAATCTCACATCCTTGAAGAAAGCGGATTGGAAACAAGACGAGGTAACCGGTCAATGGGTTTTTAGACCCGGTAAGCAAACTCCAGGAGCTAGTTCCTCACAAGCTGCTCCTAGCTCCTCTCGTATTCCTCCTCCGGATCCGACTGCTAACGATGATCCTGAATTTCAACAGCTTATGCAAGACATCGATGATCAAGTATCCGATGATGAGCCTGCATCGGAACCAGCTCCACAAGAGGATCAAATGCCTCCATATTTTCGTTTATTTTTGGAGACATTTGATCTACGGTATGCTTCCATCGAATCCCACTTGACTGCTACTCACGAAGCAGTAAATCAACGCTTAGACACTTTGGAAGCTCGTCAGATGGAGTTTCAAAGGGAGATGCTTGCACGGATGGATGCTCTCTCTCTTGAGATGCAAGCTCGATTTCCTCCTCCGCCTCCCGATCCTTCTATGGATGACTAGGCTTATTTTATTTTGATTGTATTTGGGATTAAAACTTAAAACTTGGATTGTTAAAACATTTTGTTGTTTTTGAATTGTTTAACTATTATTGGATGTTTGAACTTTTTTATTTATTTGGTTTGATCTTTATTAGCTTCATGTTTATTATTTTTTGCATTATTAACATCTTAGTTGCATTATGACCAATTTACCATTTCGCATTTGATTTGAATATTGATTATGAACACTAATGGCTAACCTCTCTTTTGATCTTTGATCTTAGCAGCTTAAGCTATATTCAATTAAAATGTTTAATCAATTGGCTATGTTTTTCAAAGCCTTCTTTCACTCAGTTTTTGAGTCTTTTTTATTTAACAAAAAAGGGGAGAAGTGTTAAGTGTTAAAAGTTTTAAAGGGGAGAAGTGTTATAGTAAGGGGGAGTAATTTCAAAATTGATTTCAAAACTTATTTTCAAAGAAAATCTTAAAATTACTCAAGAGTTTTGTTATATCAAAAAGGGGGAGATTGTTGAAAACATTTTGATATTTCGATATAACAAACTAAGTTTAAATGATTTTCTAAAGTATATTCGATTCAATTAATCGAATATCAAATTATTACTCCAAGTCTTTCAAGATCATTTCAAACCTTACTAAATGTGTAAAATTATGTACTTACACTATTTTTGAAACAATTTTCACAAAGTATTTTGAACCAAAATCAAGCCTAAAATCAAATTTTCAAAGTGATGCACCGATGCACCAATCCATGCACCGATGCACCATGGAATTAATTGAAAATCGAATGCATTTTATGCATCGATGCATATACCATGCATCGATGCACTTAGTGCATTTGATGCATCGATGCACAAGACCATGTATCGATGTACTCAGGCTACTTCAAAACATCGAATGCATTTTATGCATCGATGCACTCTTAGTGCATCGATGCACTGAGAGTCCAACGGTCAAAATATTTGAATTTTACACTTGATGCACTGATGCACCTAGGGTATGCATCGATGCATGAGACGCTCCCAATCACTAATATTAATTTTTTTCACACTTAAACGGATCTATTGACTCCACTAAGCATCCCCAACGTTCAGAATCATTTGAAGGTGTATTTAAACAAGCTTAGAAGCCATTGATCAAAAAAAAAGAAACAACAAGCAACTAGAATCAAGAGAGAATCAAAGAGAAAGCATCAAACCTCAAGTTTGAGCATTTCAAGCATATTTTTCATTCAATATTCATTTTACTTTCAAGAACACTACTTGTACTCAATTGTATTCATTTTTGAGTGTTCTTTTCTTTGTTCTAGAATTGTGCAAACAATCTACCTTGTGAGGATTTCCTTGTAAGTTTGCAAATTTGTAATTTTCTCTTTGAGAAAAAGTGTTCTCCAGAATTGGGGTATATTCTTGAGGGTGTTGTAAGGTTATCTCTTTGGCCTCAAAAGAAAGAACAAATTAGTGAATTTGTTGGAAATTCCTTAGTGTGGATAGCTAAGGTAGTGGACATAGACTTTGGTTGAGAAAGTCGAACCACTCTAAATCGCTGTGCAAATCTTTTCAATTTTCTGCAAAAGCTTCCACCAGATTTTTGTTTGCCAATTCACCCCCTCTTGGCCAATTTCATCGATCGATTAACTCAACATAAAGCCCATGTTATGTGATATGAGAGCTAGTGGTATAGTTGACATGCCAAGAGTCGAGGGTTATAGTGGTTATTCGGGACAATACAGTGGTCCTTCGGGACAAATTTCATATGTCACTCAGTGGGACTTATACGAGCTGTGGTGACAACATTTGTGCACAACCTCAATGTACTCACATACCTTCAGGTTTTTGTAACACCCCCAACCCGTACCCGACCCGGATCCGAGTCTGAGGTGTCACATTGACTTTTCAAACTTTGACTCTTGACAAAATTCAAAGAAAATTTAAAACTTTCATTAAAATAAAAGCGGTTTATTTACATAAATCGACCAAAATAACCAAAATCGATCAGAGCATATTCAACTCAATCAATTAGTACATGCCAACTATATTCAACATAACCAAACCCATTTAAATTATCTATTTTCTGACCTGAAATCTTTGTAAGGGAGATGTTGACATGTTTTGCTCTTCTTCGCTTCTCTTATCGCTTCTGTAACCTACGTGTGAAACAATCACACGCTAAGTCTATGACTTACTGAGGCAATGAACATATATGCAAACTTTAACTAATAATCATACATGAATATTTACTATTATCATTCATACAATTCATACACTCTTACAGGTAACAAATATATATACATACGTAAATGTCATAATTATTCATATCTCTTATCTCAAGTTCCTATGATCTCTTATATTCATATCATTTATCTTGTAAACTTGTTACTATATCATCATGTAAATTAATTATAATCATTCACATATACTGTAACATGTACTCATATATGTTCTAACATAAAACACATATACAAAAGCAACTATATCATCATCTTCATGCTTATCACTATCATTGATTCCTTTTTCATATGATCTTATAATTACCATTTGTACAATCATATATCACACATAACATTTCACAAGGAAACAAACACATTATCATATCAAGATCATTTATATTATCTCTTTATTAGCCCATGATACACATATGAGAACTAAAGATATGCGAGTACATAGAGGTTGTGCACTATGCTGTCACCACAGCTCGTATAATTCCCTCAAGGGGCACTGAATATTTGTCCCGAAGGACCACTATATCCCGAAGGACCATTGATTGTTCCGAAGAACCACTATGTTCTGAATGACCACTGTTTGTCCCGAATGACCACTGATAATCCCTCGACTCTTGGCATGCCAACTATACCTCTAGCTCTCATGACACATAACATGGGCATTATCATTTATGTCATTTCACGTATTCTTATATACACATAATTCACTTATGCGTAGAACATTTTCATTTCATATCGCTTATATACTTTTTCACGTAGTCACATAGATCCATGTCATATAACATATATCCAAAGTGCATATAATTACGTAGATCATTTCTCAGATATTCATGTAAACATACATCTTATATCTCGTTCACATATGATCATATATACTACATATAGCACATAGAAACACCTAGAACGCTTTCACATAGCTTATATCAATTTTCAGAGTCCTTTCATATTACTTGATAACATATATCATATATGTATACAATAACTTATATCATATCATCTACCTTATGCTCCATTTCTTTATATTCCCTTAGATTTCATAAATATATCGTATTTCTAAACATATATCATTTAATAGTATTTATTTATGTATTAATTTAATCTATTTACTTAATTCAATTTCGTATATTCATTATAACTTTTTCATATAGCTCCATAGATCTTTAGCATATAACTTATCTTACATATTCGTATCATCCCTTATATTCAAGTTTCCTACTTGATGTACTATTCCCCTTTCATTCTATAATTCAATCTTATTTAGTTCCCTTCACTCTCAATAAATCAAAAAGCTCTATTATACTAATTCTCATAGTGGATCATATCACTATGTACTTGACCAACTCATGTTTCTATTATGCATATAACTATTACACTTGTTTACCTAGTTCTTATCACTTCTCACGAACTCACTTTCATCATATTTCCTATTATTACATATTTTATCATAACCATGTATTCACATAGTCTTATATTTCATTATCATATGACTTATATTTGTTCTCTTATGACTCTTCGTAGACATCTATTTCCATTTCCAAATATCACTTGACTTATCTTCTATATTCCTATAATTTCATAACTTATTTTATATTCTTTCATCAACACTTAATAATGTTTTTACATAAACCATATAGCACATAAAAAACATATCAATTCATATAATCAAACATACATACATTTCATATTAATTACATAATCATGTACTATACTATCGGAAATAGACTTATCGCAAGTCACTTTCC